TTAGACTCATTCTCTTCACTCAGGGAAGCAACCACATCTGTCCTTGGCTTTTCATTACTCATATCCTCTGATGTGTACACATCCAAGCAGATTTTTTTCTGAAGACAGTATGCAATTTATTAATGGAAAAGCAGAGACTTCTTAGTAAGTGAGGTTTCACTGCTTCCTGGATCTTCCTGAACTGCCATCTTTGCAGATACCATATTCTTTGAAAAAAAAGAAATAGAGTAGAAACAACAGTATCAAGGACAATGAAAACCTTTGCACTTAAGCTGTTGCATTGCCTTGATTTTGCTAAAACAATTTGATAAATCATTAGTAGTTTTAATTTTTTTCAGTGTGACTGGTGATTAGGTAGATTGAACAGTGAAATGGACCTATAGCTGTTCATCAGGGATCACACATCTCAAGAGAGTGCTAAGGTGTATCCCTTGTGTAAGGTGCTTGTTATAGAAAAATAAAGGCATTTGAGGAATGGTTGTGAAGAAACTGGAATGTTGCCATTTCCACACATTTGGGGTGGTATTCAAACAAACTGGAATATCAGTTAATCCAAAAGAACCAAAAAATAATCAGAGGTTGTTGTGGATCTTCAATAATTTAGGTTATTTGATGCAGGGATTCTTAAAGAAAGAAAATTATATACAGATTACTTTTGTCACTGAAAATTATGTCAATCTTCTGTAGTGCAGATTATAACAGTTTCCTGAAAAATACAAATGGAATCTTCTTGTTTTATGAAATTATGTATTTTTTTTAAACAAAGGATAAGTTATTTAATCAAACTGCAGAAGACAATAATCTGGTAGGAGTTTATTAGAATATGCTGTGTGTCAGTTATTAGGGCATGGTAAATCCAGGAGTTCCAGACTGGCTGCTTTGTGTTTCATAAGTGGGCTACATTTTGAAAAGGATTATTTCTCACCCTAAGCAGGTTGTTTCAAATAACTCTGCCTTGCAGCAGGAAGCAGAATGGATGTGTGAGTCCCTAATCACACTTGTGTGCCCTGCAGAAGGATGGTTGGGAAATGTTTTCTTGGTAATACTTTCCATTCAACCTGCCACTGTTAATTGAAGGACACTATTTCATTATGTCTCTCTTCCTGGCAGCCTCCACAGTAATTGCACACAGTAGCTAGAGACAAGTGGAATAAAAATTCTGGAATTGTGAATAGGAAAGATGAACAATTTGTAAATTAATCTCTTCTTCTCATGGTAACAAACAACTGAAGTATTTATGAAAAAAAAATAAAAGGCAGTTTTACACCAGTTCTGTTTCTCTGTATACTGAATAATGTCAACCTATTATGAAAGGTTTTGTACTATTCAAATAGTAAATGAGCTCCAGCTCCTTCCTGGAGTTCATTGTTGTATAAACTTGACTTTTAAGGGGGTCCAAAGGAAAATAAAAGGATTTTTGAGGAAGAGATGCCAAATTCATCTGGAGATTAGTGTGCTTTATTCCCCTGTTCCTATTGTAAATGACAGTGAAGAAGAAACTCCTAGATCAATCCCAAAATGTGGTTTGTTAGTGAGGTTGGACTGCTTACAGCATGTAGCATGAGAGCCATAACTGAGAGAGGAAAAAGAAAAACACAGCCCACAGAATGTGGACACAGAAACTGTTTTTTCCTTACTATAAAAGTCAATCTTATTATTGCCATGACAGCTGCTATTTTTTCTTTTGTTTTTCTGAACCAAATCTTCAGAAAGATCATACTACTGATGTTTAAACAGGCAACTTTTTTTTAATGGAAAAAGGGTTCTTGTTAAAATGCAGGAACATTTTCTCACTTCAACATCTAGATAATTAATACATGTGAGGTGCAGAGTTCTTCAGAAAAGCCATGTCTGAGAGTCAAAACAAAAGTCCTCTGTAGAGACTACATAAGAGTGTTATTAATGGTGTACAGCAGGAGTTATGGTCATCTTTCCCAATAATATTAAAGGAGATATTAAAAGGAGTGTTCCTAGCTCAAGCACTGGGGCTAATGTCCTAAAAATTAACACAGCTAATTAACTGTGGCATAAATAAGGCACTTTTAACCATTGAACATGTACAGTTGGTGAACTCTCAGGAATTAGGGTTGCAAAGTTGTTATATGTATAAATAAGTACATATTTAGGGTGAGAACGACGGCAAGAAACACTGAACAACTGGACCAATCAGCCCAATCTGGAACACCTAAAAATCTACAAATTAGGTAATAATTCAACTGTTATTGTTATTTATTTTAATTGGTGATTTTCTAAATATAAAGTTGCAGAGCAAGGTTGGAACTCAGATCAACATTTCCTCAGTCACACAAGATTTCTTCCAAACACATTTTTTAGAGCTAAAATGTTTTGGCTACAATTTTTCAGGTCCACTTTCCCCAGTTATGGTTCCCTTTTATCCAAGGCTGACTTCTTCTCCCTCCCTGAAATTGCCATGTAACAAATCCAAATCTGGTTCCAGATGCTTCATATGGGAAAGTGGGTGCAAGAAACAGAAGGATTCATAGTTCTAATGTGCAGCAATATGGATAGAGGTTCTGAAACTAACAAAAACTTTATGCCAACAAGAAGATACAGGAGTATTCACATTAAAACTAAGGATTGGCCATTTTGATCTTTATGACAAAAGAGCAAACTGTGGAGCTGTGCCCTGCTGGTGCCATGTGAGTTCTCCTACAGCTGTCCATTTAGACTCAGATCCAGTTCACTTGTGGAAAGCTGCTGTTTCACTCAGTTCCCAATAAAACTACAACACATCCTTTACATGATGGGAGGCACAAGAAACATTCCCATATCCCAGTTCATTTCCTTTAACACAGGGATTTCTGCTTCCCACATCTTAATTGATCACAAAATGTTAAGATTACCACAGAGAAAACTGCACTTCATGTAATTTTTTGCAATAATACATTTGCCAGCATGATACAGGACAGTTTTGCAAGTGGGCAGAGTTTAACCCCAGGATGATGGGCCACATTGCACTGGTAGCCTAAGACAGAGCCAGTGCCTGTAGAACATGACATTTCAACATGAAATACAGTGTATGGTGATTCTTATTTGCTTTCCCAACCTGAAGCCTACATTAAAAGCAATAACCAGAGATAAGAGGACTGTACTTAGCAATATACAATACAATATATTTTTTAAAGCAAGTTATTTTAGGTGCTTTACATGTAATATTACCCTCTCTCTGAGCACCAATCTCAGACATTCAGCACTGTGCCAAGGGTTATTTATGCTGAAGCAGAAATCCATAAAGATAACTTAAAGTACTTTATAAATAATTTTTTGAATGACAGGATCCTGAATTAAATCTATTAATACACTACAGATGAGTCTCAAAGAGATTAAATGTCATTTACATCTCACCTGGAATAAATTTTAAAAATTGTTAGAGTGTGTTAATTCAGTACTTCAGCCAATTAAAGCAGGAGCAACTGTGCAAAAAGAGGAGGAGTTATTTCAATAGATACAAGATATAATCTTCATCTGCCATGAAGCAGTAAAAAACTTTCTGCATTTCCAAACTTAGGACCACCAACAGGATAAACACATGGCATGCAAGTTAGGAACTTAGAGAGCAACTAATATATTAATGCATTCCCATACAGGAACTAACCAGATACATGAATAGAACAGGGGAGATTTGTGAAGATCAGACCACAGACAATACTCTTATTTACCAAGAACAAAAAAAAAAACACTTCAGAAGACAATACACTAATATACAAACAAACACAACCATGGGGATTCTCTGACTTATGACATGTGGTTGCTGCTCTTGAGAGAGAAGATGCAGTTCTATAAATCCATCACAATACTGAAATACAACCACAGGCAGGAGCAGAGGCATTCAGAACATGACCCAGTGTTGAAAAATAGCCTTGTAAATCTATGGAATGTTTTTATCACCTTTTCCCATATTGGCCTCATGTACAGGACCGTAGTGTTATGCAAAGATTTAAACCCATTAAGTGCCACTCAGAGGCCCTTCTCTCACTGGCTCTAAGGTATTTTACCAATTCTGTCTTGAAGAGCTGTACAGAAAACAACCTCAAAATCAACTTGATTTCAACCTTTCTGAAAGGTTGGAGTAATTTACAAAAGAATATTACAACATCAAAAAACCTGAAGACCACCCCAACTTTACAACCCAGCAACTTCCCCCTTCTCCTCAAGACCCCCTCAATGTTTGATGGCATATACAATTACCAGATCAGACAAGACCCATGAAGGATTCATAAAATGAATGTTACATGTCTTACATAGCAGTATGAAGCCATTCAGTAAAAGCAGATGTATCAACAACATAAATGCAGCTGTTTGAAAAAATAAGACACATTTTTCTCATTTCTGACCTGTAAGCTTTACCTGCCAAAAGATAAGAGTTTGTAAAGCACCAAAGGGACTAAAGGACGCTGCTGATCAAGAGAGTGGCAAAAGAAAAGAACAGTAGAAGCTTTCAAGTCATGAGCATGAGCAACACTTCAAGTGGAAAAACTAGAGATTTTCAATAGACTTTTCTCAAAACTAAGATAGGGCTGTGATTAGCAAAGCATCACAGATACACATTAAAGACCCCTTAATTTGACTTTTCTGCATTAATAAGATCCAGGCCAACCTCAGCAAAATTTTTTTTTTTTTTTGTTAATGCAACTTTGATTCAAAGCAATTGGAAAAAACACTGTGGTTTCTAGAGCTATTTAGTCTAACCAAATGTGGGAAGATCCTGCTGATAATAGAATGATTTAAGTGAAATGAATTTCTATAATAAAAAATAAACTAGGCTAGAGAGCTCCAGACCAGTCTGAATGAAAGAAAACTTTAAAAACATCAATTATTTGTTGCAGCATAGTTAAATATTAATGCATCCTCTTTATACTCCTTCCAGTCAATCACTTTAAAAATGTCAAAAGATGGGTGAGAAAGGAAATAAAGTGTAATGTCTAGCTAACTTCCCCTCTGTGTCATATCCAAAGACTGAAAAGGCCCAAATAACTTACACAGATGCAAGAGGACAAAACCTGAGCCTCAGAAATGCATAGCAAAATCCAGGTTTAGGCCAGACTTCAGCCCCTCTTTGTGCTGTCCTGCTGGAGCAGGTCTTAAGGACAGCTGCTTAATTCAGTTCAGTGGCACAAAGAGAAAGAGCCACCTTCCCACCACCCCCAGGAATCCCAGGGGAATTAAAGAAAAGCAACAGTGGGAGCCAGCAGACCTCACAGGGAAAGCCTCTCCTCCTCACAGCTGAACTTCCCACGCTGCACAGCACTGCTGCAGCTGGAAGTCCTGACAGAAGATGGGAAACACCCCTCCCCTGCTGAACCCCATCCAGCCTGACTGCAAGGACACCTGGCTGCTGTCTTGTGAACATTTTAGAGATTCTTTTTGTGTTCAGACTTGGGTATTTTCCCCTCTTCCCCCACCTTCCTAACCCAAGACTACTCATCCTAGGAGCTCCCAAGAGAGGGAAAAGATTGAGCAGGAGGGTTTAAGGAGGTCAGTGCAGGATGGTACTCTCTTAGAATTATCTGGTAGGAGGTATCACACCACTCCTACACTTCAGGAAGCCTGACAGCTTCTTAGAGATGTTTGTAAAATGGTCAGCCTACTTCAGCTTGCTGGTTACATCACATTTGCAGGAGACAGCATCTTCAAAGCATTCCTTACCCTGTGAGCTATTTGGCAAAAGGAGAATGATGACAACCCTTCTTCCTCTGGCTAGTCTGAGAAACCTCTGTTTCCTTTGCTCTTTGGAGTTCTGACCAAAATAATAATGAAAAAAAAAAGTATATTATAATTGCTCCAACACTCTTCTCTTTCACCTGCAATATCTGGGCAAAATCTAAAGTCAACAAAGACATTTACAAGGCATTTTCAAATATATATGTTTTGTCATATATAGTATCCTCTAAATACAAATATTGCACAGATTAGCCTATACTTTCCTCATTTTCGTGTTTGGGACTGTGTGCTCCAGCAAGGTTCCCAATAACAGCCAGTGCTCCTGAAATCCTTCCACGTGTGGAGCATCCAGCTTGTCCTTCCACAGCCAAGTCACAGGAAGAAGGCACCTATGACATGAACTTTTTACTCCCCCCACCATCTTTTGCTTTCAGCAAATTCTCTGTATGTACTTCTGAGAGGTATGTGTAGCTAGCAGGCACCTCCAGCCAATTCAGAGGGTATCCTTTTTGCTTAGCCAAGAAAAATTCTTCTATTCCAGCCTTCCATTTATCTCTGGCCACTGGGACAAGCTGCAGCCTTATTCCATGAGGCATTCAGAAGTTGCCTGCAGCAAATAGTCAGGAATGCCCCTGGAATGGAGACTAAAGTACAACATAAGAGGATTTTTATTGCACTTTGCCTCCATCTGCTGCATTCAGCAGCATTGTCCTCACATAAACCAATGGCTACCTCATCGTTTGCTGCCTCACATTTAACAGTAAAATCAGAGGGGGAAACATCTCCCTGATGGAGGTCTCTGACTGCAGAAGCATCTCCAGGACTCAACTGATGGTGTCAAAAAAAGGAAAATAATATTAAAAATGTTTGCAGAAATACAAATAAATGCAAAAAGAAAGGAGTAAATTAAAACTAGAGACATTTGAAAGAGGTCCATTCTTCCTCCCTGTGCAGTAATAATGCTCAGATTAGACCACTGTAACTTCACCTAGAGTGGAGAAACTCTTCTCTTTTGCCACAGACTAAAGTTTCTTCTACCAGCTTACATAGTCAGTTTTCTATGGTCATTTACAACCAATAAACATCCCCTTAACCTGGAGGATCTTCTGACATAAAAATTACATTTGTTGAGTCTCCACAAACACTGAAAGTGTCTGCCTTCTGGATCACACTGAAATTGAAAATTCCTTTGGTATTTTACTGTTACACTGTAACAGTAAAACAGGGCACATTCTTCCTCAAGTGTCATTTCTGCAAAATGACAAATTTTTTTCCCAAACACACAAATGTTTGAGCAGTACTCTCATACTGAGCAGTAAGGACAAGCTAGGTTCTTATAGAGATGCAACTGCTCACTGAGAAAGGAGTCATTATCTTCCTTCTTTGTTTCCAATGTCATTTATCATCCTTAATGGCTTCCCTAAAACCATTTTTGTGCAGACATGACCATTAATAATAAGCATTCTCCTAGCACAGTTTACAACACTGCAAAATTATTTAACGACACATCATTATTATTAACATAGGACACCACATAAGTGCATAAAATTTGAGCTGAGGTGAGATTTCTTTGGGCTTTCCATCTTCTCAACGACATTATGCCTGAACCAGACAAAGCAGCATTTTATATTTGCTCCTCTTCTATTCTGAGGATAAAAATAAGTAGCATTTTACATAATGTGCTGTCTCATAATAGACGTTTTGCAGCATATTTTATTCTTTTATAAATTGAAGTTGCAAGCCAGTTGTACATACTTTTTCCTGAAATCTTGGTTGTGTTGATTATAATGAAAAATACTTCCTTTGGGGATTTTGACTTTTTCCTGTTAATTTAATCCAAATTGTTCAAGCCATTTATTTAACACTCTCTGCAAATAACATAGCAAATGTAAAGCTTTCTCAGCTAGACACGCCAGTGTTTTTCCAATACAGAGACTCCATCTTATACTCAAATCCATGTAACATGTAGACAACTAAATCATTTTTGTCTCATTCCTTCAATGTCCAAAGTTCACATCTCATACAGGATGACATCTGTATTATTCTTTTTGTCCATAATCTGCACACATCTCCATAAATACTAAGACTCATTCTAATAAGATGCAGCAATGCAAATATACACTCCTCAATTTGTACCCAGTTTACCATATTCATAAGTCAGAATTGACACAGTCACAATAATCCTAAAATCTAGTAAATGCTTTGAACAAGATAAATTTAGTTCCTGGCCTATGTTCCTGTTGTGGTTTAAGCCTAGTTGGAAATGAAGCACCATGCAGCCACTCACTCAACCTCCCTCTCTTCCCCCCACCTCAGTGGATTGGGAAGAAGAATCAAAGTAAAACTTGTAGGCTGAGATAAGATTAGTGGCATAATTGACAATAAAGCAAAAAACAGTAATAATGGTAACTGATAATAACATTGGTAATGAAATGGGAAAAACCAGTGATGCACAGAGCAATTGCTCACCAGCCACTGAGCAATGCCAGGCCCCCTCCCCAGACCCAGGCTGGCCTCCCTTCCAGGTCACTCCCCCAGCTGGTGCTGCCCATGGTGTGGAACATCCACTGCTCAGTTTGGGTCACCTCTCCCAGCTCTGCTCCCTCCCAGCTTCTCCTGTGAACCTCCTCACTGGCAGAGCATGAGCCAAGGAAAAATGTCCTTAACTCAGGATAAACACGGCCTAGCAAACACCCAAAACATCAACATCAGTGTTATCAACAACATTCTCATTCCAAATCCTAAACATGCACTGAACATCTACTGAAAGGAAATTAACTCTACCCTAGCTGAAACCAGGACACTGCCACAAGTCTTCAGATCAACTTTTCATTCTTGTAATCACACCATCATTTTCCAAAGTGGTTTTTCTCTTCTGCTCTAAAGAAGATCCTAACAAGCATCAGTGAAAACTGAGTATGGTTAAATACCTCCTTTTTGTGATATGACTATCCATAAAACTATCCTGTAATTTGTGAACTCTTCTATCATACATGTTTTTAACAGTATCTAACCCTGAACAATGTTGGACTAGAAACAAGTTGAAATTTCCTGGTTTCTGGAGCAGCAGGAAAAGGAAGGTATAGCCTTAACACTGCTCCCTGAAAAACACAGGTATAAATCAATCCTTGACACAGAAAAGGGAGGAAACTCCTTGGTATTCTAGACATAAGAATGATTATGAAATAGATCCAATCACTAGAGGTTAACTGTAAAACCATAGGGGTAAAAAACCAACAGCATGATTTTCACATGGACAGCATGAGATAGATGAGGTATTAAAACAAAATCCACAGCTAAACAATTCTTAAGAAGTTTTGTTGCTTGGAAGGCAGGTGGGTTTTTATAGAATACAAGACACAAATTATGGAATATGGGTATTTTTTTGACAGTGAAACTGGAAGAGATTCAATCAGAAATAGTTAGCTGCGAGTTTTTTAATAGAAAAATTCAGAAGTATTGACATGCACTTCAAAAGGAGTGCAATTTGGAAGGAAAATGTCTTTTCATAAATGTTGGAATGTCAAGCCCTAAACCTTTAACATGGAAAATCTTAAGGAAATTTACTGGTATTTTTGACCTTAGAATTAGAAATCCTGTTCCCATCTGAAACATGCAGGTTCAAGGTCTGGAGTTTCCAAATCATACTGTAATGAAGATAATACTTGAAATGCTTCTAGTAATGAATAAGATTACCAATTATTTCACCTAACTGCCTTAAAAATTCTATTAAAAGATGAAAAGTACTGTCTCTGAGGTAAAAAAGATTGCAGGAGGTGAGACAGGACAATCACTGAGAGGCATTAGACCAAGTTCTGTGTCTTCCTTGCAAGTCTGATGCTTCTCAAAACCCAGTTTTCCAGAAACCTCTATCTCACTTTCTGACTCTCTAAACTCCCATCCCTGGGGAACACCACTCAGCCCTCATCCCACAACCTTCAATGAGTTTGTAAATTCACTGTCCTAAGCTACACGGTGATATAAATATGTGTATTTGGCCAAATATTCATAGCATAGGGGTTTTTTTTTCCATCCTCATCAAAAGCACCAGATGTGGAATACTGCCAGAGATGAGACACTGGGTCAGGTAAATCTGATTCCCTGAGGGGAACAGGGAATTTTCTTGCTTACATCTCCAGTCTCACTTTCTGCTTCAGAAAAAAATACTGCGTGCTGCTCTTCCCAAAGCCCTCAGTATTTAGCTGTCTGATTATAATATTGCACCTAGATGAAAACATTTCAGAGAAGCAAAAGGAAAATCATAGCTAGAGAATGTTATGCAGGCCAGTCATGCACAGAAGATGTAGAGCCTGTCAAAGCACTCACACCTCCGAAAACTGGGTCTGCCTTTAATGGGAGGAATTCCTAAACTGCTTCCTGAGTAAGTTAGAGACAATTTCCTTGCTGTGAGAGAATTGAGAGGAGACTGAATGTGCATGATGCCTCTAAATCACTTTCAGAAAAAAATATTGGCTATGAATTCCATTAGGAAGGGATCTTTTCTGAGATGAGAGAATTTCTGACTACCTACATTACTTTCTTCAAATGAAGGAGATGCTTTACAA